TTGACCTTGTATTTGGTGGTCAAGACTTGGTATAAAAGTCATTGTCAAATAGAGTTTGACCCATTCATTCTGTGCGTTTTGACACCATGTATGATCATCAATTTACAACATGTTGTAACTTAGGTCCTACCATTGTGATAAATAATAACCCCTACCGCCTCAATAAGTAGAAAATTAACATCTTAAATATTTTGGGGATTGTTGGTTATTTTTAAAAAATCAAAAAAAAATCACGAATATAGCATGTTCACGATAGAATGAGTAGTTTTGACCTTTGACCTCATTTTCTAAGGTCAAGACTCAGTCCAAAGTTGTTTTTTTTATATTCTTTTTATTTTATTTTTATTTATTATTTTATTCCCTTTTTAATTCTGCACATTTTAACATCAATATCATCTATATACCATATTATGTTGTTGAAATATCAATCATATGCCATTTTATGTGGAAAAATTAACTTTTTTGACATTTGACCTCATTTTTAGAGGTTAAAATTTGATCAAAAAAGTTGACTTCTATTTTAAGTCTTCTTCCTTTTTTAATTCTACACATTTCGACACCAATGTTATCTATATGCCATATTCTGGTGATGAAATATGACTAATAAAAGAATCATAGCTATTTGGGCAAAGGTCAATGAACTTTGACCCCCGATAAAAAAGTTTCCCCAACCCTTATCTCTCCTTTTTTTTTGGTAGTTGTCCATACCCATACCTACCAAAATCAGTTGAAATTAGCTTCTTTTAAATTTTTTCACAGATAAACCTTTAGTTAGGGATACTAACCTTGCCATTGTCCAATGTTGCCATACTCGACACAACTTCATATAATTTTTGAATTAAAGAAGGATCAATCTCCTGTATGAAAACAAAAATGTAACTTTGGTGATTCAAATCATGTAACCATGGTGATTCACATCATGTAACCATGGTGATTCACATCATGTAACCATGGTGATTCACATCATGTAACCATGGTGATTCACAACATGTAACCATGGTGATTCACAACATGTAACCATGGAGTTTTATAAAATGATGTGCTAACTGTCCAACTGGCTGTCTTATAACCTAACATTAATCGAAACAGACAGGCACCATTGTATTTTGATGTGTTATTATCACATTATGCCTCTTACAAATAAACAACTAAAAACAAAAACTCACCGGCAAGTTTTCTGTCATGTTTCTATTAACCATCTCAGTGACATTATTCATGGCATTTTGAAGAATATCTTGATTAACTGCCAAACTATTGACATCAATAAAACTCAATCCACCAAACCTTTCCTGAATGTAATCATTGTATGTTTTCATCAAATAATCTGTAATGTTCCGCTGTGTCAAGTTATTCATGATTTCCGTGGTCTGAGTCACCCTGTATGTGGGTTTGGGACCACCAGCTTCAGCTTCACAGACCTGAGTACCAATATCACAGCTACACGGTGGCGATGGCATGTCATTGCTGAGATTAAACTTCTGAATGTAGTCTTGTACCGACTGAGAAACATCTGTGAACATCCAATCAGTGGCTTCCTTTTTCATACAGGGTAAATCCCTGAAAATCAGAAACAATATGTAACTGTGTCCTTCAAAGAGAACTATGTTCTAAGCTATTTGTGTCTGTCCTGAAGGCTGATATGACATTAGTACAAAGTATGCGCTCAGGCAGTACAGTGATCATAGTGAGAGGCGCATAGCGAATATAGATGTGTACTTGTACTGCCTGAGTGTATACTTTGTGGTATTCTTGTGATAATCTTATTATTATACCAGTGCTTGTATAATAAATTTTGTGCTATGCAAACTTTGGTGTTCAGTGACAAGATTTCATTTCCGTTGCATAATTTATCACTCTTTTGCATTCAATAAATACAAAGGGAAGTGTTGAGCATTTTCCAAATAAGAAAGACATTCAAACACATCTGTATGGCGATTTATGGATGGACATTTCTTTCGTTTTCAATGTCAGATGTATAATAATAATAATATTCACTATGCAGCATTCACTATTTAATCTTCATATGTTTAAAAGATAAAATAATTATCCTACACAGTGTCCCTATAGAGAGAATATGTCCTACAACACTGACTGGTATACACACACAACAATTATGCCACTATATGCTCTTCATGTTCTAATATAGTATGTGGCAGAAATGTTTCACTCACATAATGAAATGAAAGAAATTAACTTGGTAGCAAAATATTTCATCTCTAGTCATAAAACAATTTTGTTATTTGATTTGCTGGTAGATTTGCATCTGGTGTTTTGAGATACCCATACATATCCAGTAATTACTTTAAAACCAATGCTATCAACTTACAAAATGGTGGGTTCTGGCACCATGCATCTGGTACCAATTCCTGGCGTATAATGTAAATTCTGTTCCAAATTCAGTGACTGTTCACTATTCGGGGCATCTTGGCTATAAAACGTCTGTAGTTGTCGGTCAGTGTATATCCATGGCATTATCTGTAGAGCAGGTTCTTCCTGAATTGGAGGAACCAGTAACGAACAAGCTAACATCAGAAGCACAAAGAACACTGGCACCAATACCTGCAAATATATCAAGTTATTTAAAGTAATAAATAATTACCTGTTGTTATATAGTAAAAAACAAATGCATGTTAATATGTATGACATTATGATTTTTATTTTGGCTACCATTCAGTCAGCTTGGATTTCAATGTCAAACTTGTGCACAAGTGTCACATGATGTATGAAGTACACATTAAGTTTGAACATGATCATTCAAGGCATGTAAGAGATATTGCTGTAACAGAATTCATTAAACTCATTTACATTGACTTAACCAGGTTAAAGTTAAAACAAAATGGCCACTAAGAGGTCATATTGAATTTGATCTGGAAAACAAAATGAATCACATTGTGTCAAGTGTATGTACTGAGATTTACCGGGTAGTTCCAGAATGGCAAAAATATTGCTAGATTTTGATAAACTTCGAACACAACAAGCCATGCATGGCACAGTCGCCATTAGTTATCGAATTTAAGATATATAGTTTTGTTTATAGTAATATAGCTGGAATATAATCATGTCAGGAATATGATTATGATGATTGTTTAACATTAAAATGATTGACATTTGTATCTGATCGTCAAATGAGTACTTGTCCATATTGAGCATTATTGCTCTGGAACAGCATTGATTAAAACAAAATCAGCCATTTTGAATACATGTACCATACTTCCCCGAGTATAAGCCCAGGGGCTTGAACATGTAAAATCGGGAAAATTAGTGGCTGGGCTTATACTCGAGGACCACCTCAGAAAAGATCATTTTTTGGGGGGTTTAAAATTGTAACACTGAAAATGAAAAATCATCCAAATTACATTTTTTGTTCACGGCGCAGGTCTCGGAGAAATATTACGTCTTTTTAATTGCCACAACACTTTTTACAATAAAGAAACAAATATGTTCATAAAAATACAAACATTTTATTACAGTATGGTTTACATACCGTCTGAATTTATGGTGAAAAAATGGGTAGGGTCTGTAGGAAAACTGTCGAAGGCAAGATCTTTATCATTATCTTCGTTGTGGAATGTTTTTGAGCACTTGCAAACTCTCGATACAAAGATATTTTCGCCATGGTGTTTTTCATCATGATTTGACCTGAACAACTTCCTTTGACCTAACAGGTCATGTCATTCGTTAACCAATCAAAATGCTGTGTCGTACAGACAAAGTTTCCCGATTATTTACATAGTAATTTTTTCAACGCAATGCGGAAGTGAATTACTCCGATGTTAAAATGAGATAAAATTTCGACAAAAAGCTGTGATTTTTTTCCCTAAAGCTGTTGATTTGAAAAGTAAACTGAGGGTGGAGGAAGTATTTAAACGTTTCACGGTCGCTATCAAGTCATGTCAAAGAATAGTTTGCTCGTTCACATCCCATTCACGAAGGTCTCAATGGACAGGATTATTCGGAAAAGTAAAACGATGTTCAAAAGGAATATGGATTAATTACGTACGTACGCCGGCCATGCACTCTGAAATTAATGCGTGTTTTCTCGTAAAAGCAGGAACCTAACTACCGTACCAATCCTGATTATTATGCAATGAAATACACTTTTTACTTGCATATTTTAATAAATGTCGATGCCCAGTAAAAAAACCCTGGGCCTATACTCGGAGATGCCTTCAACTTGTTAAATGTCTAAAAACAGAGGGTGGGCTTATACTCAGGGAGGGACTTATACTCGGGGAAGTACAGTATATATCTATAACATGATGTGTAACGAATATTTAAAATTTGAACATAATCAGAGAAAGCATGTCAGTGATATGGCTCTAGAAGCCCATTCATTAAAACAAAATGGCCGCCAGTTAGCCATTTTGAATCTGATATGAAAAATAAAATGACGTGCATCAGGAACCTGTAATGTACCAAGTTTGAACAAAATCCATCCAGCAATACTAGATATTTGATGATTTTTTTTTTAGCACAAAAATGGCCACCATTTGGCCATTTTGAATAGGATAGTCAAACCAATATATCTGTATATCTATAACATAAAGTATGATGACTATTTAAAATTTGAAAATAATCAGTCAAAGCAAGTCAGAGATATGGCACGAGAACCACATTCATTAAAACAAAATGGACGATAGTCAGCCATTTTGAATCTTATCTGAAAAACAAAATTATTTGCATCAAGGTCTCATAATGTCTAATGTATATACCAAGTTTGAACAAAATTCATCTGTAAACAGCCGAGAAATGCTTGATTTTGATGTTTTTTTAGCACAAAATGGCCACCATTCGGCCATCTTGAATCAGATTGTGAAACAAATTGATGTGCTTATGTATAATATCATGTTCTATGTACGAGTGAAGTTTGATTATGATTGGTCCAGACATTTCTTGGAGACAGCTCCGGACACATGCACGCACGGACGAATGCACAAGGGTCGAACAGAGACTTAAAATAGTTGTCATTCTGAATGCGATCATTAATTAAACACATACATTGTAGATATGTGTATGATATATGTATATGATTGAAGGCGATCAGCCCAGGCATGTCAGGCAGGTGGGGACAATGAACATTAGGTCACACAAAGGTCAATCCCTAAATTCTCCAACAGTTAAGTAATTTGTAATAAAAACATTTTATGGTAAATTTACCTGTGCAATGAATGCTTTGAGATTTCTTCTTGAGCCGTGAAATCTTTTGATGAAAAGTGCCTCAAACTGTCGAACAATCTTTCTGGCACCAGTGATTTGGTAACTTCCCATTGACTTCAAATCACCACAGTCTTCAAAGCAGGATTCAGTGTCAGATTCAGCATCTGTTATAGAGATACACACATTTATCATTCAAATGGTTATTATCACAGAGATTCAATACAAAATGGGATGCCTAATGAATGAAATATAAGCCTCTGAAGGCCAAATTTGTTGATGATGTCTGAAAGTCAAAAGGGTCAAACCAATGTTTTGCTGAAATTCTCAAATATTTCCCCAGAAAATGTTGATGCAACATCATTAGACTTTCATATCATTTTCTATAACTTGTTATTTTTGACCAAATAGACACGATTTCCTACATGTCCTCATTAAAATTTTGTAATTCTAGGCTTTGAATGAAAAGTGGCATTTAAAATAACGAACCACCAAAAAAGAACAATCTGTTCTGATGACTGCCCTCTATAGCCCTTGGAGTACCAAAGTTAGTTTTGTTGTGTTCTCGATTTCAAAGCAGAACTTTCAGATGACTTCCGATTAACTCATGAATAAATAATTACAACTTGTGACAGAAGTAATAAATTTATGAAAATGAGACTTCCAATGTCAGCGCATAATAAGGCAACAATTGCTGGGAGAAAAAACTGTGAAATCAACATAAAATGAAAACTCTACCCTGCGTGTTATCCATGTGGTGATTTAATGATTTCGGAAACTCCACATAACCACTGCCTTCACTTGGAGATGAGGGTTCCGGATTATTCTTGTCGTATTTCACAAGTACAACTGATGAATCACCAGAAGGTTTTAATGGGCGAGTAATGACATCCATTGCTATATTGACAATAAATGTAATGAATACAACATTAATATGACATTTAGTGTGATGTGAAACAAAACTAAATTCATAAAAATAAACTATAAAGCAAAAAAAAATGTTGAACACTTTTAATACCCAATCTCCTGTAAAATAAAGAATGAATTATACACAATTCAAAATGATTTTTTAGATATGGTAAAAATGAGGTAGCAAAGCTCATTTCCATGGAAACGATGACAATGACAAGTTTGGAGAAAATGTAATTTGTTTGATACCAAGACCCCTATTGTTTATACCTGAACTGAAATGTTCAATACAGAATTTACATTTTATAGATCTACTGTCACTCCCTCCTCTCTGTCACTCCCTCCTCTCTGTCATTTCCTCCTCTCCATAATCATATTTTCCTGCCACATTTTAGCCCACCAAATTTTGATAACAAAATTTACAATATTTCAATAGTTTTCTTTGAACTTAAGAACACAATATAATTATACTGCACATAAGTTTATACCATCATCTTTTAACATTACTAATATCCCATTTCAAGCTTTGAGTACATTCTATTCTCTCTTGAATTCACAACTAATAATTCACCCTAATAATCCAACTTATAAAATCTTTTCGAATAATTATTTTAATCATAGGCTAATCAAAAACAGTTCTTTTACAAGTAGTGACAGTAGAGATGAAAGACTTATTTTGAAAGACAATATAATAAATCTTAAAAATTTAATCCATATATCTATATTAGAATTTATTAACTATTGATATAGTTGCTAGGCATAACATAGTAATGTACTTTTTAATTTTTAACCATTCTCTCTACACAAAACAGAGAACAAAATATATGCATTGAGAATGAGATTTGATGGAAAAGAAAACTATGTACCCCTGCAAGCTTTGGCTTTTATTGACATGTCCAGGATTTGTGTAGCGGGATTTGCGGAGGATGCTGGACCAAATGATGAGTCAGATGGTTCCAGTGATGCTGATTGAGGCGGGAACACAGTAGAGTCTCCTGCTGCAGTGACATTTGTGGTGCTTGATATGACATTTTCATGCTGACCCACTACAACAAATACAAATAGATACACACATACAAGAAATGCAATGCAATGCAGCAATGATTGGATGAAGTACACCATGTGATCAATAACTCATGTATATTTGTCTAGCTATTGGATAAAGTACACCATGTGATCAATAACTCATGTATATTTGTCTTGCTATTGGATGAAGTACACCATGTGATCAATAACTCAAGCATGCATGTTTGTCTTGCTATTTGATGAAGTACACCATGTGATCAATAACTCATGTATATTTGTCTAGCTATTGGACAAAGTACACCATGTGATCAATAACTCGTGTATATTTGTCTTGCTATTGGATGAAGTACACCATGTGATCAATAACTTATGCATGTTTGTCTTGCTATTGGATGAAGTACACCATGTGATCAAAAACTTATGCATGTTTGCCTTGCTATTGGATGAAGTATATCATGTGATCAAAATCATGATTATAGCAGTAGAATCATACATGTACCAAATAATGCAATCACTTTAATGACGGCCAGACATTACAGTACTCACTCATGCCAAGTCAAGGAAAGCAGTCAATACAAACTATGATAAGAATTTAAAACAATAAATAAAATTTTGAAATATAAATCAGTCCAATCCATTCCCTTGATGAAATTAATAAATGGCAAGTTGATGTCAATGAGATCATTATCGGGGAATATTTGTCAGTTAACAAGAAATTGTATATTACATCAATAATTTAGTGTTAGACAAAAATCAGCAGAGTCTGAAAAACAGTTCTAAACACCACCATGCTGTTCCCAATATTCATCACAAATTCACCATGAAAATAGTCCCATTTATAGTCTTTACTATCCTTCAGAAGATTGGGACAAAAATATAGCAAAATTTTTGAGTAAAAACTGAAAATTTTGCCTGTTGGCTTCAAAATTAGGGTTTATTCCCAGAAATATGCGTCCATATAAGAAACGAAACGACTTGGTGGTTGAAATAGCCCCACTGTCCCACAAGAACATTGTGGTACCTAAGTCGAGCAATGCACACCCATAAGATAATACCAAGCATCAAATCAACTGAGCTGGTAGTTTTCAAAGTCAAAAATAGCATTTTGTACTTAAAATGAAGAAAATATTCACCTAAAATAGAGAATTAAAGATACCATCCATTCAAGGTACCTACATACTAAGTATCAAAGCAATTGAACTGGTAGTTTTCAAGAAGAAGAAGTCGGACAAAAGGCAGACAATAGATGGATGAATGACGATGGACAATCACCCATAATGAACACATGAAAAACACACGATCTGTCAAATTTATCATGAAATTAAATACATGCCATTCAACCAAAATTGAACAAGTTTAACATTTCAGATTAACATTGCCTGAATTATTGTAACCACAAACAGAAGACATTTTTTAAGTGAAATTTTACCAATTTCTTGAACAATATGCATATTCCAAAATCAAACTTGGCTGAGATTCCAAATTGATTAATTAAATATCCAAGATTGAAAGGGTTGGATCAAAACGGTTATTGTTATCAAAAATAAGCAGGCCCGATAAATGATGATGGATAGGTGGACGGAACCCAAAACCTAAGTCAACTATGGAAAAGGTCTGAACAGTTGCTTAGTGCAACAAATATAATTAGTATTATTTAATCAATGATATAAATGGCTGGCATTGCTAAGGAATATGCATTAGCCAAGACTGCCTCAAATTTGTTTAATTTTAATCTAATATGTATTTGACAAGTTTCCTCACGCACACACACACACACACACACACAACCACTTGCAAAATTCTTTTAACTTACGTTCAGCATCGCTCAGTAGTTTGCGCTTATCTGATTCTGATTGTTTTGATTGTGTATTTAACTGTTTTCTTCGTAGACTTCCAATTCCTAAAAATGGTCCAGGTATACGCCCTGTGTCAGTCATTTCATCATTCAGTGATTTATCTGGGTCATCATCTGCCACTTTCAAAAATATCTACAGGATGGAATTTATCACATTTATCACATTTCATTTTGTGGGCAACTTGTGGTCAATTTTTGGGATGAATGTTTTTTTATTTATGGCAAACAATGTATAAACTAAATGCATACAGTACAGTTCCAGTGTAGCATCTATCAGGCTATCCCATTTGAATGCCTTATTTCCTGCCAAAGTATGGTGCAAAATTTTGTATGTTTGGTCAGGTGATCTGATTGGCTACTTACTACATGCAACACATGATATGAATCATCCAATCAGCAAGTGTGTTACAAATGTTGATTAGTATGTAGTGTGTGACTAACCTCTTCTAGTGTAGTGTCTGATATACCATAGCTGGATATACACAGCTTGTCCATGTTTTTGTCTAGCTCATTGAAGAGTCTTTCAAAACCACCTGATCTGGTAGCTGCAGATGGTAACAGATATGTCAACTCAGTGCCGTTGGTCTCAGCAATCTCTGCTCCTGGTATGTGACTCTGGATAAATCTGGTGACCAGACCTTCATCACAATAGCTCACTGAATAAATAATACTTAAACATTTTAACTCAATAAAAATAGGTTATTGAAAAGTTAACAAAACCCAGTTATAAGTGGTACAAAAAGTACCCAGTACAAATGTACAGTGCAAACTGTAGTATGAGAAAAATGCATCACACAAGACATGAAAAATGGGATACACAGAAAAATCTTAAAATAGAATATTACAGAGAAATATGAATTTCATAGGGTTAAACAGCCATGGGGACCAACATTAGAACAATGTATTATTTCAATGTACGATATAGCCAGTAAAAATTCATTGCAAGTATAGTGATTAAAATGATTTGTATTAAAAGATGTAAATGACTATCAGCTGCTTATAGCATTATGGTTATGGTTATTATTATGGTTGGTCCTTTCACTTTAAACAATTGCTGTTATTCCCGAGACTTTTTGACACTTCAGTATAGCATGATTAAGATTTAGTGTGTTATAAAACACTAATTTATTGGCCTTATTTGGGCAACAGAACTTGTTACAGTGAATGGCAGAAACATAAGTAGGTTATAAATATTTAATAAATATAAATTTTACATACCTGCATTGGTTGCATCCACCAATCTTGGCAATGACAGAGGAGTGGTTGATGTGCTGTCTGATCGACTACTACTCTCTGAGCCAAGGCCTTCATCAGAACCAGTGTCTGTTATATCCTGTAAAACGAATTCAATTGTAGTATTAGGCCTTTTACCATCACTGCCAATTGCTACTATGATCAGCAAAGTCTACCCCAGGCGCTGGAGGTTGTAATGTTCCCCGCCCGGTAGAATAATGCTACACAAACAACACTCCAGTCTGACTGCTATCTGAACTGAGTGCGCCGTTCATAAAATAGATGTAGCGCTGATTGGGTGACGCGATTGTCAATCAAATGCCCACTCTATTTATATCAAATGTCGTAAACAAAATCACCTTACTGGTGCCATTTTCAGTTTTCAGTGTCAGCGTGTGTCTCGGTTTAGACTGTTGTGTGTAACTGGTCATAACCTGAAAATTTGGCCATGATTGCTAAGAAAAAGCTAAAAGTAGCCTTAAAGACTATTTTAGAAAACATTTCTGGTGTGCCATCTTTCAAAGATGAACAGTTTACTGCAATTGAAGGGATTGTAAACCATAGTGACACTGTTGCATTTTTTCTGGTGTTGCCATCACAGAGAAGAGGTGCGATTTGACGTAATCATGTTTATTCTGTTTTGCAACATCTTATCAATCTCCTTTGACAAAATCGCTGACAATCCTCAGAAACCGTGATTTCGGGTTTCTTCAAGATCATAACAAGAGCAAATTAATAATGATAAAATCAAAATAATATCCAATGCACGCTGATCCATAAAATAACTCCAGTATGACACGAGAAACTTTGGACAAGTTTGTCGATGAACTAAATCCAGATCGTGGTAGTTGTTTATTAACAGCTACCGTCAAGAGTCGTGTGTGATTGGCTATCGTTCAAAGTGCAAAGGTTGCATACATTCAATTAGTGACTGGGAGGAACTCAGTTCCGATAGCAGTCAGACTGGAGTGTTGTTTGTGTAGCATTATCCTACCGGGCGGGCGGAACATTACAACCTCCAGCGCCTGGGGTAAGCAAAGTCAGTCAAAATTAACTTTGCAAATGATGAAACAATTTTATTTTTTTGCAATAAAATCTATTGGTAGTGCAATTTAATCTAAGAATCTAATACAACA